CCTATTTGGTTCTTCCATAAAAATGAATGAGCTCATCATCTTTTTAACCAATTAAATACTGCACTATAGGAATTTATTTATGAAATCATAATATACTATACCTACAATAAAAACTTCATTAATCTACATATGTAGGAAAGTAGAAGGCCAGTTTAAATTAGAGAAAAGTTTTGAATAAATTTTTAAAAGAGGAAAGTATTATAATTTTAAAGAAATACAGTAACTAAAACGAAAATGGCCTAGTACTATGTAGAGTTCCTGGGGATAAGTTGCAATTATGCCAGTATACTGGTTCTAAATAAGTGGTCGCTGCTCTAAAGTATTTGTGGGTGCTTAACATATTTTTCTAAAATAGTATAAACTGTATATCAAACATTTTGCATCACCTATTTCCTTAGAGAACGTTTCCCCCTTGGGTGTATAAACTTTAACCTATTAAAACAACCAGAAATGTGAACAGGCAGGAGTCAAAGATGTATTTTGTACCCTGAGAGTTGATAGAAGATTTAAACTTTCCTGATGTTATTAACTGTTCTCCAAATCGCTCAAGTACACCTTTTAAAAACTAATTACTTGAAAAATGCTTGCAGTTGGAATTATTAAAATAAAAGAATAAAAGGGCTAACATTTTTTATTATTAAAGGTAAAAATTTATATTCTTAACCTTTTTAGGTTTTCTATTTTAAATTCCTCACATATTTATAAAAGAGAAATATGCTGGAACCTCACTATAACATTATGTGTTACATTATGAAATTTTGGTTGCTCAAGAGAATAAAGCCAAGGGCAGCATAATGCAAAATTCCTAGGCACTTTGAATCCTTTTCATTGTATGCTGGTTTTAAAAGTTTTATATTATGTCATTCACGATGACTGTCTGATGCTGAACACTTGAAGGGTCTTTTACAAAGAAAAGTGTTAATTTATTGCTGATTCTTTTTACAAAAGTAAACATTAATGTATATTTCTGTTTAGTCTAAAGGTTGGGGAGTAGGAATAGTTGGGACAACAATCTTCAACAAGCTCATATGTAATGCATGAAAATTTAAAAATTAAGTGGCACTTAAGGCATAGAGCATTCTTCCTCTTGCTAATCTTTGTTATGCTTCCTGCATTCCTCATTCAATGATACGTGAGGACACAAAGGTGCTCAATGCTCTCAAACCTGCACATGCGTTTGTCACGTGTGCCTCAGGATGACTGGATGCTTCAATGTAATTGTTGCTGTGCACACCAGCCAGTCTGGAGAAATCATGAACTCACACTCAGTGTTGTCCCTCCCTTTGCATTCTTTCTGACCTATTATTTTTTTTTAAAGACTTATGAGAATTAGTTTAGGAATTTAAGCAATCTCATTTTACATCTATTAGAACTAAATATCAATGTGTGGCTCTAATTTCCATTGAATTAGAAAATGGTAAACCACAGAACCATTTTCCTGGTATGTTCAATTCTAATTTGACAAGCAATCGCCATCTGAGCAATTATGAAAAAATTTTTATTTGAAAAAATTTTTAATTGGACATATAAACAGATATTTGAAAAAATTTTTAATTGGACATATAAACAGATATCAAATCCAATGTTTAAAAATGTTCACAATAACACTGTTAAGTGTGTGGTTGATGTAATATAAAGTGTGATTTGCATGTTTAATTTTCTAAAGTGTAATAAAAACTGAATATTTTAAAGCCCAACTTACCATACATTGAAAATCCATGAAAAGGGATTACACCTAAAAAAATAAAAAAGTAGTTCTTTTCAATTAGTATACCCACTGAATTATTAGGTAAACTTTAGAGGATTAAAGCCCAAAATAGTGAGGTTTCCTATTTTTGCTTCAACTTTGTTCATGCATGCCAGAAAGACTTAGTGATGGGTCACCAACAAAATGATAGGCTTTTTAATACCTTTAGAAAGCAATCTAGAGGTTTTCAATATATATCCAGTTAACCTTCTATTGATAAAGTCGAAAATTAAGACTGTGAATATGTGTTACAAAAAACAGAACAAGGCAGATCACAGAACTAAGTTTAAGAACTAACTATAACGGTCTCAGAAAGTCAATAGATTAAGTCCTTCTTGAAGCAACTTCATCCTGTATACTGGAGTCCAATCTGTTAAAAAATAAGTGAGCATTTCAAGGCACCTCTTATATAGATGCATTCCCTTATAAACTTACCACAAATTACATCACAGGATGTGGTTTAGAAAAAATATTGGCAGGAATATGGTACAAATTCAGTGTAATCTTTGGCAAGAATTATACACAAGTAAAGTGCACATCCATTTAGAAGAAAATACTTGAAGCCTAACTTGGTATGCTAAACATCTTGTCACACTCTAAGTGAAAAATTAGAACTTGTACAGCTTAGGTTCAAAATGGAAGTTCTGTAATATATACACCACCATATATCTAACACAGTACTAAATCAGGTTGCAAACAGAAAAGAAAGATGAGTTTACTTTTTTGAAAAATAGCACAGAAACGCTTCATTCATCTGACATGTTCAGAGGCAAAAACAGTGTTGGCAGAGCCTTCAGAGGTCACCTAGGGTCAGTTCTAACAAATGATAGTTCAGTCTCAGTCTAAAACATCCAGCAATGGGGGGCACATTCATTCACAATGCAACCAATTACAATTTTGAACAGGTTTAATTTGGGGGGAGTTATTTCTCATAAGGGGTGAGACTCTGGTTCCTTGTAATCCCCACTTATGTTTCCTAGTTCTGACCACAAGGGTCACATGGAACACAACAAATTTATCTTCTATGAAAACTTTCAGAAATACTGGAGGACACTGTTCTCTCCCCCGCCCCCATCACCACCAGGTTAGGTTTTTTGTTTTGTTTTGTTTTTTGGTTTTGTTTTTTTTTTTTGCTCTGAGACTTTATGAGTTTATTTAACAGTTCCTCAGACTGAATACCTTCTCTACTCTATTCTCCTCTGGACAAGCTGTAGTTTACGACAGCCCTTAAAGTGAGGTGATGAAAGCCTCTAAGCATTTTTCCTCCCTACACACCCCACAGCTAAAGCACAGTGCACTTGTGCAGTTGTTTCTGACCTAAGTAAAGAACTGTATTCTTATCTCTATTACATTTCCTCTTTGGCGAACCGTTCCAATTTGAGATAATCCTGGATTCTCATCCTGTTACCTAATGTATTCCCTCTTCTTCCTGGGTCCACATTGCTGGAAAGTTTGATAAATGCACTATCTACGTCCTCATCTAGAGCACTATAAAGATGTTGAACAAGACAGAGTGAGGGGGCTCCCCTGGTGGCGCAGTGGTTAAGAGTCCGCCTGCCGATGCAGAGGACATGGGTTCGTGCCCCGGTCTGGGAGGATCCCACATGCCGCAGAGTGGCTGGGCCCGTGAGCCATGGCTGCTGAGGCTGCACGTCCGGAGCCTGTGCTCCCCAACGGGAGAGGCCACAACAGTGAGAGGCCCGCGTACCGCAAAAAACAAAAAAAAAGACAGAGTGAGGACAGGACTTGTCACTAGAGACCTCCTTCCATACTGATAGTAATTCATTGATCAGCACCCTATGATATCAGACAGACTTGGCTGGGTTCATCTAGCTCTGTTGTTTAAGAACTTTGTGTGCCTTTAGGTAAGTTCCTTAATCCCCTAACCTTCAGTTTCCTCATCTCGTAAATCAGAGACAATGCTAGAACTACATAAATGATTAAATGAGATAATGACTGTAGCTCAGCCATTAATAAATAAATAGTTTAGACTCAATAAAAGTTAATTATTGATATTATTATTCACAAATTAGCTCATATTTCTTTGATGATTCTAGAAGTAATTTTATCAGAGAAAGTATGAGGAAAATCCAACATTATTCTGAACTAGTGTGCCAGGTCAACCACCTTTAGAATTTTGTGCGGCATCACTCTTAACTTTCACAAGCTGTAATTCTCAGGATCTACCTTTCCCCATTTTTCCCTAGTCTTCTAGAACACACCACAGATTCATGTTGCCCAACTGTGTCTGAATTCTGTGTTGTTGATCACCTTCGCTGTTTATCTGTTTGATTAGCCACCCTGTTCCTTCAGAACCTTCCTGCTCTTCAAGTGCTTCACACTCAATTGCAGAACTCACCCCCCCCCCCCCCCCCCCCCGCCCCATCTCTGGGAGGCTGATGCCACTGACATAAATTCTCACTTGTCTGTTCTTTACCTCAAATGTCCTTCACACATTTCATCTGTTTTCTCACTTCCCTTTAGGGAGGTCTTCGGAGGAAGACGCTTCTTCCTTTTTCTTTTTCAGAGCTACCATCTTCACCTGTGTTCTTAATCCTGTTTCCCTCACTTTCTCTCACAGAAGCTATGGTCAGATCTGTGGCATGTCTATGTTTGGCCTGTGAGCTAAGAATGGATTTTACATTTTTGAAAGATTATTTTAAAAAACAACAAAGAGGAATATGTGGCAGAGACTGTTTGTGGCCAGCAAAATTTAAAATATTTACTATCTGGCCCTTTACAGAAAAGTTTGCCAACCTCTGCTTTGGAATCCTGCCCCATCAATTTTCCTCCTCACCCTTTTGTGTGCATCATTCAACAAATAGGAATTGAGCCTCTACTATGTGCCAGACACTGTTCTGAGGTCTGGAGCCTACTTTTTATTAGGGACAGGAAAGTCATGATAAAATAAGTGAATGTATGTCAGACAGTGATAACTGCCGCAAAGAGAAATAATGGAGGGAAGGGGGAGTGAGAGGAAAAGGCTGGGGGAGGGAGGAGGTCTTACTGCTAAAAGAGCCCTTGAAGCTAAGTAGACGAGAGTCACCTGGTAAGAGGTGACCAGAGGCCCTGGGCTTCGCCTGGCGATTGCTGTGAACCGGGATAAGCTTCCTGAGGTCAATGGCCTGAAGGCGGAGAGTGGTGGCATCGGCTCTCACCCCTGCTAGTGCAGGAGCAGAGGCAAGGCATGGGTAGGTCCTATCAAAGTACTCCTCTCTCCAGTCTCTCCTGTTTCACTGCAGCCTTTCAGCCAAAGATATTACAAACACCCCTGCTGATAATAATGACACCAAAGAAGAGGAGGAGGGGGACTTGTCCATTTTCTTCCCTGAACCTTACTTTCCCATCAAACAAATCTCTAATCTCTCTTCTTTCCTTGAAGCCAAGCTTAACTTTTAAAAAACTATTCAAAGTAACTTCCTTTATTTCCACATTATATATGTCCCCAATTCCTTAAACTGGTTTCCACCCCTCTCACCCCAACTCCCGATAGCTGAATCCAGGCATCTCCCCTCTGTGTGTGTCCTGGCCCCCTAGCAACTGAACGTTCCTTCTCAAACTTGAGCCCACCAGGCACTGATGACGCTGTGCAGATCAGGCTCCCTGCCTCAGAAATTTCTGCTGCTCAGTTGTTGTTTTTGTTTTGTTGTCTTTTGGACTAGTTCTCTCTTCCGCACACTCCTTAAATATAGCTACTTTCCAAGACTCTGTCATACTTGTTTTCTCTCTCCTTCCACCAGTATTCTCATTATTAACCTGTAATTCAAACAGTAAAAACCCAGTTTCCTGCGCCTCCTTCTGGACTACCTAGTTCTGTAAACAACTCCTTCCCTCCCTAGGCTTCAAGGAAGAAAGCTTTGAGTCATCTTTGTTTTCTAGTCCTCCCTCAGCCCTTATACCTAAATGTGATTGTGTTCCTTTCCTGTCCCTTTAAGATAAAGAATGCTTAACTCTTCAGGATTCAGCCACAGTCTAACATCAGCCCCTTCATTTTTCTTCCCTACCCCGCAAGCACAACTCTAACCCTGCCAAACTGATTGCCAACACTTCAGCCTCTGGGGCTTAAGGACAAGGGCTGTAGGCCATGCTCTCCTACACCTCTAGCTGTATCCCAGCCCCACCCCTGTGAGATCTTATTTTATTTATTGAAAAATAAACTTATTTATTTAATTTATTTATTTTTGGCTGCTTTGGTTCTTCGTTGCTGCATGAGGCTTTCTCTAGTTGTGGCGAGCGGGGGCTACTCTTTGTTGAGGCGCGCGGGCTTCTCATGGCAGTGGCTTCTCTTGTTGCAGAGCACGGGTTCTAGGCACGTGGCCTTCAGTAGTTGTGGCACGTGGGCTCGGTAGTTGTGGCACATAGGCTTAGTTGCTCCGCAGCATGTGGGATCTTCCCGGGCCAGGGCTCGAACACACGTCCCCTGCATTGGCAGGTGGATTCTTAACCACTGCGCCACCAGGGAGGCCCCCGTCGAGATTTTAAACAATACTCCTCCTAGAAAGATCTCCCTGACAGCCCCTGACTCTCTACTCCCAATCATTCATTAATCAGTACTCTTTATCAGCTGATTTGCCCTGACTGGTTGAGGTACCCTTTCTCCTCTGTGAGCCTAGACAGACCTGAGCAATTCTGGTTCCACTTTCTACCTGCGTACACTTAGGCTGCTTACTTAACCTGTTTCCTTATCCAGTACTGCTCTTAGACCAAGGCAGAGGGGCTTGGAGTAAGGGCCCTGCTCTGGCCCTCCTCTGACTATACCCCTCACCCAGAGTTCATGTCCCTCCTTTCAGACCACAACCCAGACACCCAAGACTCTGAAATTCCCAGCCCAAAGGCTCCTAGCCAGCTTCCAGGGTCTGCACAGCCTCTTAGGTGGAGCTACCTTCTTGATGGGTGCTATCCTCAGGATGGAGAGGTGGGCAAAGGATGGTTATTTGTGGAAGATGTGAACAGAGCTTGGACCTGCAGCCTAGTGGGTCCACATGCAT